CACGCCTTCTGCCCGTCCAAAACTCGCCGGAAAACTCACTGATTCCGGCGAGTTAACTCATGGTCCCCCTTTCCCTTCTCTCTTTTTTCCACGTGGCCTGACAAATAACTGATTTTGGTTCGAATTCATGTTTTGTTTTGCTCTCTCACACGTGAATCTCTTTCAACGGTAGATGATGGACGAAGGGTAGGATATGATTAATGAAAATTGATCATACCCCTCCATTTGCCCAAATTTTTACCAAAAAGAATGAGATTTTCAGAATTTTGGTGGGATATTCGGAATTTTTGAAGGGTTTTTGCGATTTCTTGCCAAGGAAGGAGAGAAGCTTCGGGAGAGAGCATTGCAAACTATAAGGTCAAATAGTTAAATCAAAACTCCTTCCATCATTAAAAAATTAATAGAGGTGCTGATAGTTTGTTCTGACTTCGTAAAACAATAGCAGTCAAGAAAATTCCTCCATAAATTTGGTAACTATTAAGAGATCTCAAAAAATAAAAGAAAGAAAAGAAGATTGCAAAGAGGAAAAAAAAGAAGATTTGAGCAAGAATTGTACCAGTAAATTGAAATCATAACACATAGAAAATGAATAGAGCAAAATAATTTTTGAAAGAGTGATGCTTCTAGACTTGGTGTTGAGATAAAAAACCTAGAATGAGCACGATTAAAATATATGACTGAGCAAAATGATAATTGAGATGTAAAATATCAGTTTTACCCCTGATCGACCATCTTCACTCTTCTATATAAAAAAACTAAATAATAATGTTGCGTAACTTGTCTAAAGCAGGAAGCAAACAATAAATTAAAAAGTAAAAGAAGGAAAGATAATGTAAAAAACAGTGGCGTGTGTTAATGTATAATTGAATCAATGGAACAAGTAATTAAACAAGGATTTGGATGGTATTAATTGTGTCTGGTTAGAATTAAGTTGCACAAGAATATTCCAATGGTATATTACCAACTGTTGGCTTATCTGCCTCATTATTTCATTTTCCAAAAAGAAAATGGGAATCAAAAGGGTATAATTCAGACGCCAACCTAAGCATCTTTATTTATACTCTTTCATTCATTTTCTGTTACCCCCTTCTCTTAGTTGCTATACTTTCTCTACTAAAAAAACCATGTGTTGATGCATATCTCTCCTCTGCTAATTAAAGTTTTCATCTTCGGTAAAGCAAGAAAGGCAAGTCTCTACTTTTCCATTTACGTGCAACTCGACTATTTTATTAGTACCTATTGAGTTAATTACTTCTTTCTCTATTTTTTTTTCTAGTTGTTTATCCCATTTCAAAAATTAAGTTCCAATTCTTTCCTAGTTTATGTTGTGGTTGTTTGTTCCTATTCTACTCTGATTCTTCTACTTGTGAGATTGTTATATATTTACTGCATATTGTTAATGGAAAGGCAAAATAGAAGTGGAGGTTTTGAAGGGATTGAGAGCCATACTTAGAGAATAGAGAGAAATAAAGATAAGTTAAAGTGATTGCTTTTTGTTTTACCATTAATTACTGCAGTTGATGTTGTTATTTGGCTGAAAAACTCCACTTATGGGAGAAAACATGTTGTCTCGCACAGTATATGAGTAATGAGTTCATGTTAACGTTTCATTTTGGTGTTGAGGTAGTCGGTTTTAGGAATCAATAATTGGTTAATTAATTGCCTATAATACATGTTATGGGGTTTTCTCAGCTTTAAATTAAAGGGTCCATGCAAATTTTCTGTCAACCTTTGAAGCCTTGACTATATAAGATGTAGTTTTCTGATCTACCAATATATAAACTTATAAGCTTATATATAAGCGTGTGTGTGGCTTAACGTACAATAATAATAATGATCATTCTCTTTCTACTTAGCAGCTGGATTAATGAATAAAAAGTGGGATTTATTACTCGATGGCAAGGACTAAAGCCTGCAGTAGGATGTTTCCCGGGAGTGATCAAAGAGAAGAGAGAACAGTTTGAAGCAGGGGCGGCCCAAGGGTCAAGCCACTAAAGTAAAGGCTTTAGGCCCTCAAATTTTTAAGGTCCCAAATTTTTCTTTTTGTTTTCTACTCGTATTTGTATTGAGCCCCCGACTAGTCTAGATTCGTATCGCATAAGGCCTAGTAAAAGAAAGAACACATTTTAACAGGATTTATTTCAACCACATGACTCGAACCCAATATAAGGTAAGCTGGATCATATACATCTCACAACAATATTTAGAGGTAGGGTCTAAATATATTGGGTATGTTAAAATTAAAAAAAATTACTTTATAAAAAGTAAATATAACTTTTAATTTAGTATTGATGTAACCGTTTAAGCAAAAATTGGAGAAAGAGAACCACTCCCCCCTAAACCGTCGTCGTGAATATAAAACTTTTCATTATTTAAATTTGACGATTGACATCATTAGTGAGGTACCTATATTATTATTCTTCTTTTACATTTCTCACTAAAAACGTGCAATTCAATAGTCCAAGTCTTATTTTTTATCTTTCTCATCAGAAAACGGGTACTACATTCTTATATTCTCTTCTTGATTTCTACAAAAAAGCTTAAGTTCTCTATAAGTTATATTGTTCTCTGTAGAAAAAAAAAAGAGTTTTATTTTTTCTATAAAAAACAAGAGTTGAAGAGTACCGTTGAATAAAACTATATTGCGCATTCTTTTTTTCCCCTTTTTCCCCCTCAGGTTTCAAGCATTTCAACAAGTATATTAGAACATCAAAAATTATGTTGATATCAAGTTATAAACTTCTTGAATCTAGTTCAATTATCTAAGATCAATAATATTTTAGGAGAGATTAAATTATTTATAAAAGAAACTATTAACAACTTTACATCTTAAAAAAATAAAAAAATAAGACTTCCATTAAAAATATAGATGAATTTCTTTTCCTTTGACAGGCCCAGATTAAAAATTGGCTTTAGGCCACCAATTCTTCTTGGGCCGCTCCTGGTTTGAAGCATTTCAGGTTAGCTTATTTCCTTGTTTTCTTGTTTATTTTACCTTGGTCCTTGTTCCTTTTCTTAAAGATTCTTGTTTGGTAGTTTAAATTTATTGATTTTGCCGGATGAATTACGTGGACATGCTAGTTTTTGGTGGTTAAGTTTGCTGAGACATGGAACAAGAACCCTATCTGATTAGCTGTAACTAGAAAATGAAAATGACATCCTTTACTCGTTTTTACCCTCTTTGTAATACACAAAAAAAAAAAGAAAAAAAAAATATTGGAATCTAAGGAGGGTAGTTTGTACGTAGACCTTACCCCCACCTTGAAGGTAGAGGAGGCTATTTCAGATAGATTTTACCCTCTTTGTAATAATAAAAGTTGAAACAATCTGGTCAGAAAGTATGTTGCTGTTTAAAAATTGTGTGATATTGCATACTGATTGCTGAGAATCATTGCCTCGTTGAAGATTTTGAGACTTGGGTCTTGGATCTTCACTAACTTTTTGCTTGAAGTCTGCAGTTTCTTGGGTGATTCATTGAAAAAGGATAATTATCATTAATAAAAGGAATCATGATTTGCAGTTGTCAATACAACAAAATTCAGAAAATGCTCTATGCCCTAACCAACTACAAAATTAAAGGTGGCAAGGGCTGTAATTCCTTTTGCTGATCCTTTTGTCAGCACAGTGTAGTTTCGCTTCTTTATCCTTCCTCCTGTGATGTGATTCTAGTATGTGAGACACTGTACAGTTAATTCGTCGTCATCTTGAAACACAGATTAAGATTAATTAATCCCATCCTTTTGGTTCACCGGTTAAGTCACCAGTGGACAGAGTTTGCCACCATGGCTTCATGTGAGGGCTGCGCTTACTCTTACTGGTTTTAGACGACTTACACCTCTTCGCATAAACTCAAATGCCAACATAAACAAGCCAAAAAAGAACACCAAGAAGATCTGGAGCCTTGCTACAATGTCGACCATGACAGACACATTGCTTCCCTCGGGAGAACTTTTTCTTGTAAGTGGGGTTATACTCCATCCTGATACAGACAATCAACTATTAGAGGGATGCAACTTAACCAATAAGCTTAAAACAAATAATGGGACTTGTGATTCATGGAAGTATGTTGTGTCATTCACGCTCGTTACCATATTACATTGTTGTTACCATTGTTTGCTACTTGGTTGTTTTATCCTATCTCCATTGTTCTTTGAGCCGAGCATCTATCGGAAACAACCTCTCTATCTTTATAAGATCGGGGTAACGTCTCTCCCCAGGCCTCATTTATGGGATTGCATTGGGTGGTTGTTGTTGTTGTTGTTGTTGTTAGTGATTCATGGAAGTTTATACATTCTACAAAGACATTTTCCCTCTATCTCCCCCTATTCCAAATAGTCTAGTTTCATTATGCAGCCTTTTTCTTGGAAGAGTAGGTAAAAAAAAACAGATATAAGTACTTACCGGTGCTTTTCTTGGGCAAATTTGTCCAGTCATACGGGCTAATCTTACTTGAAGATGCCTTGATCAACTCAAGAAGTGCGTCATTGACCTAAAATTTTTAATAATCGACATATACTTCCATTAACAATTAGCATACATATGACTACAGCCACAAAAATGCCAATAGATTGGACATATCTAAAATTATGTATGCTGATTGACTCATAAATATAAAAGTGCAATATAATGTTTTCATTTGATCATGATATCCATGTGAATGTTTGATTCTCCTATTTATTTTATCTTTTTCAAGAACCGACAAGTTGTCTGCTGTCAAAACATTCATTGATGTTCTGCATGACACTACAAGGCCCTAGCTCTGAAAACAAAAATGAAAAGAGAAAGACCTGCTAGATCTAAACAGTCTGCATTGTATAAAATACCCTCTCACTTGCTAAAAAACCAAACTCAATAAAAATACTCAGGTACCTGAACACTTATAATAATTGTCAGATTATAATGTCCAGTGTGCTTGAAAAGATTCTAGAATGCGTNGGTGGGTTAAAGAAATTTGGGTGAAGTTTGGTATTTATGTGGTGTTCACAGATATATTGCACAGTCAAATCATTTAAAGCCACAGAGAGTACAAAAACTTTGAGAATCTCATAAGTTATTATGTATTTCAAAATGTCCCATAGTGACTCCACCAAAAGGTTGATTTTGGCCTATTAGTGACTCCGCCAAGTGCCAAGTAATTGATTTTCTACATCTGCCAAATGATCCTGAGAATCACTAAAAAGCTGCAGATCAATAGTTCTAATAAGAGTAACCCAGCCCGACGGCTTTTTGGAGCAAATTCACATAATCTTATATAGAATCAGATGCTTTCTTGGCCTACACCTTAGCACATAACTTTAACATGATGTGCAGAGCACCTATGGTTCTGTATTAAAGTAATAAATACATAAAAATAATACCTCTTCTGTCCTTTCATGACTAACAAGATGTCCTCCAGGAAGCTCTACCATTCTAGCATACGGATATAATTTCTTTGCAAGACTCTTCGCATGGCATAATTGAGCAATGACGTCGTCCCTACGCAGAAGAAATACTGATTTATATCTAGATAATATTTCAGAAAAAAAAATTACTGATTTACATCTAAATAATATCTCTAGCTGTTTGAGATTGTATCTGTTGCAGATAATGCCTTCGAATTACAGATAAATATACCTGCCATGAATAACAGATATGAGGAAACCAGCAGAGCAGATAGATTCAAGATCAGCCCGCGATATCTTATGAGTCCAGCAAGCATTTATCTGCCCATCAAATCCACAATTTGACTGCATCCCCGATGCTGATATGCCTTTGACGTATTCCTACCACACCCAAAAAAGACCCTAGTAAGCACCTTATTATTGTTTCTTGTAGATTACTTTACAAGATAAAAGACGCCCGAAGAAACATCTAGAACATAGTGTGTTTACGTCACTCACTTGATACAATATTGCTCTTCGGGTTTTAGTTCCCACATATTCCTCGAGGTATTCCTGTAAAGTGAAACACATACGTTATTTACAAATCATTCCCTGGCCATGAGAAATGACACCTCATTACATTTTTATATCTAGTCATAATCAACGAATTCAATCAGCAATTTTATAAAAAATAATGCACATGAAACCATTGTGTTTACACATGGCATGTTCATGCAACTTTTGAGAAGGAAGTGAAGTCTCTTATTTGTCAGCAGTATTAATTAAATGAATAATTAATCAACCTTTGAGTAATGGGTGTCTAAATCAACAGCAGCCCTCTGCTCAGGAGTTTTTGCCTTCAAAAAGCGGACAGCAATAGATAGAGTTTGACGATCGAGCTGCAGCAAAAAAGACCATATGAGCACGAGAACAAACACAAAAATGAGCACGAGAACAAACACAAAAATCTTTCTTTGATTCAAGTATATGTGCTACTGATTGTGACCATAAAAACCAGCATAGCATTTCCTCCTTTCTCAGACACATTAGCATCTCTCTCTCTCCCACACGCACATGCACACACGAACATACACGATTGGACAAGATAAGAATATTCCGCAGAAAGTGAAATCTGTGTTTTTTCCTGTTGAATCATACAAAATGCCAATGTTCCACTATGCCACATGCTCTTTTCTCATGATAGTGGTGTCTGGGGAAGCTTAGGCGTATTTCGACTATTCCACTGGGTACCTGCTGCCTCCCACAAGCACAGATACCAGGTAACTCTGCCCACCAAGCCTTGGGCAGATGAAGAAATCACGTAGTGTTTTTTGCCTCCGTTGGGATTTGAACCTGAGACCGCATGATTCTCCTCTGACTTCATTAACCACTAAGCCACACCTTTAGATGCATGATTCTCCTCTGACTTCATTAACCACTAAGCCACACCTTTAGATGCATGATTCTCCTCTGACTTCATTAACCACTAAGCCACACCTTTAGATGCCCTCTATGCCACATGTTGATGGATACAATCTTTAAGATTTATGTACCACACCTTATTCTTATCATTATGTATAATTTTTGGATAAGTATGTACAGGAGCCACCTTTTAAGCACCAAAATAACTGGGTATCGTGACATAAGCATCATCTAGCAGTAAATCATGAGACTATTGGTGACGACATCATGCACTTACAGCTAGTTTGTAACTGTTAGGAGCAAATGTTATCTAAGAAGTTCGGGTCTGTGCCTTACAATTCATGCTAGTAAAGATCAGCTCTTGGTTAAGAACTTATTCACTCTGCACAAAAGTTGCAAATTTTGAATGTTGCATCTGAGGGTTCAAGCCTACATGATGATTTGCCTAGTGCAAACGGGACTTCAGGAAAGTGCAGGTGTTATAGGATTTCCATTTTCAATTTGATCATGTTTCTTATTTCAGGGATAAACAAGTATTATTCCGAGAAAAAGAATCAAACAAGGATAAAATTGCATTAGGAGCTCCAAGTTCTTGTTTAAGCAGGCTTAGAGCATCACTGCACCAGAAGTCCAACCAGAAAGTATCTTGTTGAGTACACACAAGTAACATAGAAATGTATTCCCCCAGAAAGAGAAAATTCTTTCTGTGGTTTGTTCAAGATCCACATACCAGTGTTATTAAAAGCCAGCACTTGGCCGCCCTAAACCAATTAAGCCGTGTGAAGCGAGAGGTTATTGCTTCCTGGGTTAAGTCATGCGTTTCAAAGAAGTTTTGCGCGCCAAACATTGACGCGCCAAGTGAGCCTAATGAGAAGTAGCAGGCTTTTGGATCTCTTAGAGAGCTGGATTTATATTGACATTATTGTATATTTGGATGCTGAAATGTTATTTAGTAGCAATTCAATTATTATAGTAATAAATTCATACCATATGTTTATATTTTTAATTTTTTCTTAAATTGTGCGTTTCATTTTTAAAAAGTGCGTGCTTCAATTCTCGCTTTTTGCTTCAAATGGACCTGCCACATTCTATTCCTGGAATTATCTTGACGACCACCATAGGCAAGGTTAGCACTTCTCTACTTTATCGTCACTACGCTGCTGTGATTGAAATGAAAGTGATCGAGAAATGAATTAAGAGAGAAAATGGATATACTCTGTCATCTCTGATCAGAATAACATAAGGGTTCTTCACTCAGATAGAGGGGAATCAATGATGTCAACTGTAGCAACCAAGGAAAAAGAAGGTTTTGTTTTGATGAAGCGATGTGTCCCTGACTAGTTTGCACTGCGCAAATTCCACCTTGCTACTTTAAAAGATGACCATCGATGCCATGTATAGTGGAAAATTTTGAAAATGCAAGAATGGCCTCAATTCTTCTCAATTAACAGAATGCATCTATTCTTTTTTTTTAGTAAGCTGATTTTTATAATGTCTTGCATGGAAGGAGCTGGCGATGCTAAAGAAGACCAAAAAGGATGTTCTTTATTTCTATATTCAGGTATATCCATACCATTTAACTCTTGAACAATATGCTTAATGACAGATAGTTGAAGAGAAGATCTTACCCTGGGTATACATTCATAGCCTCCCCCTGTTACATTCAGTAAAGCCAAAGATAAAACTCTCTTAGGCACCAATGCAGCCAATTTGCAAGCTATCATCGCTCCTGAATGATTGAGAAAAAAGTACAAGCAAGCATAAAAGTTAGCACATTGATCACATAAGCATATTAAAGAAATTGCATCTTTTGCCATATACTGCACACTTAAGATCGAAAGTATCTATCTCAAAATCAAATTCAATTAAAGATGTCCCAAGTCAATAATAGAGATTGACAGTCAATAATGCCAACCAAAGAGGATAGAGTCAGAAACTTACCCATGGAATGCCCAAAGACGTGTGCTTTTTCCCACCCCAAGTGATCCATTATAGCAATTGCGTCTTTTGCCATAATCCTCGTGCTGCACCAAACATTAATTTAACGTGTTAACTATTTAACTTTAGTTTTCAGCAAAGAAATAGAAAAGTAGTTGAAGGTCTTCTCATATCTAATTGGAACCCCACAAGAACTTAACTCATTCTTGGACTGCTCCTATTAGCTGCAAATATTCGATAATAATAAAAAAGTTGCCATTTTTCCTATTTTATTGGTAAAAATAGCTGAATAAAGGTAATTAAAAATTGTGGTTAATTGGGGACTTACGTGTACTCTGATTTTTTAGTGGGGACGGAGCTTAAGCCCATTCCACGATTGTCAAAAGCACAGACCTCTATACCGGAGCCTTCGCCGGAGCTCCGATCAGCGGCCGCCGGCGATTCATCATCATTCGGAGTAATCGTCCCTGTGAGTGCCTTGATCTGTGGGACCCACGAACTGTGTGTCCCAGCCAATCCTTTTATCATTCAAAAAGAAAAGAAATTTCAGAAACAAAGCGAATTATGAAAAACATCAAAAAACAAAGAGGAAAACGAAGAATACCAATAATTAAGAGAACTTTGACCGGGCCTTGACCATAAGTTCTATAAAAAATCTTGGTTCCATTGTTGCCAGTTGCATCCACACCGTTCTGGTATTTGCTGATTTCACAGAAAGGCATTTTTGGCCAATTCAACAATTTTCAGCTTTCCAAAAAAAAATCAAGTCTTTATAATTTATAGAGCCTTTACAGAAAAAACGAAGGGAGAAATAATAAAATATGAGAAGAAAGTTATGTTGGAATTATTATGAATGAGAAATCCAGAATGAAGAATTAGGAAATGGGAACAAGATTTTGTTTTTGTATAATGTGGCTTTTTCCTTTAAATAAACTTCCATTGACAATCCTTAGGCTACTCATTTTTGGGTTTTTA